ATCTGGAGTATCTGAGAGAGTTAGAGCTAAGGAAGGGGTAGCAGTAATGTTGAAGGATCAGTTATGGAAGGAGAAAAGAGAATATGAATGTGTAAATTCAAGAATTATGTGGATTAAAGTAAAGGTTGGATGCGAAAAGTGGGTCATAATAAGCGTGTATGCACCTGGAGAAGAGAGGAATGCAGAGGAGAGAGAGAGATTTTGGGAGATGTTAAGTGATTGTATAGGAGCCTTTGAACCAAGTGAGAGAGTAATTGTGGTAGGGGACCTAAATGCTAAAGTAGGAGAAACTTTTAGAGAGGTTGTGGTAGGTAAGTTTGGGGTGCCAGGTGTAAATGATAATGGGAGTCCATTGATTAAACTTTGTATAGAAAGGGGTTTAGTTATAGGTAATACATATTTTAAGAAAAAGAGGATAAATAAGTATACAAGATATGATGTAGGGAGAAATGACAGTAGTTTGTTGGATTATGTATTGGTAGATAAAAGACTGTTGAGTAGACTTCAGGATGTACATGTTCACAGAGGGGGCCACAGATATTATAGGTAGTAGGTTGGTAGACAGCAACCACCCAGGGAAGTACTACCGTCCTGACAGATGACTGTGAAACAGAAACCTGTAACTGTTTTGCATGATGGTAGGATTGCTGGTTTCTTTTTCTTTTTCTCTCTCATAAACACGCTAGATAACAGGGATATCTTGCTACTCCTACTTACACTTGGGTCACACTTCACAGACATGCACATGCATATATATATACATCTAGGTTTTTCTCCTTTTTCTAAATAGCTCTTGATCTTCTTTATTTCTTCTATTGTCCATGGGGAAGTGGAAAAGAATCTTTCCTCTGTAAGCCATGCGTGTCGTATGAGGCGACTAAAATGTAGGGAGCGATGGGCTAGTAACCCCTTCTCCTGTAGACATTTACTAAAAAAGAGAAGAAGAAAAACTTTATAAAACTGGGATGCTTGAATGTGTGTGGATGTAGTGCGGATGACAAGAAACAGATGATTGCTGATGTTATGAATGAAAAGAAGTTGGATGTCCTGGCCCTAAGCAAAACAAAGCTGAAGGGGGTAGAAGAGTTTCGGTGGGGGGAAATAAATGGGATTAAATCTAGAGTATCTGAGAGAGTTAGAGCAAAGGAAGGGGTAGCAGTAATGTTGAAGGATCAGTTATGGAAGGAGAAAAGAGAGTATGAATGTGTAAATTCAAGAATTATGTGGATTAAAGTAAAGGTTGGATGCAAAAAGTGGGTCATAATAAGCATGTATGCACCTGGAGAAGAGAGGAATGCAGAGGAGAGAGAGAGATTTTGGGAGATGTTAAGTGAATGTATAGGAGCCTTTGAACCAAGTGAGAGTGTAATTGTGGTAGGGGACCTAAATGCTAAAGTAGGAGAAACTTTTAGAGAGGGTGTGGTAGGTAAGTTTGGGGTGCCAGGTGTAAATGATAATGGGAGCCCTTTGATTGAACTTTGTATAGAAAGGGGTTTAGTTATAGGTAATACATATTTTAAGAAAAAGAGGATAAATAAGTATACAAGATATGATGTAGGGCAAAATGACAGTAGTTTGTTGGATTATGAATTGGTAGATAAAAGACTGTTGAGTAGACTTCAGGATGTATCAGATATATCAGATCACTTTCTAGTTGTAGCTACACTGAGAGTAAAAGGTAGATGGGATACAAGGAGAACAGAAGCATCAGGGAAGAGAGAGGTGAAGGTTTATAAACTAAAAGAGGAGGCAGTTAGGGTAAGATATAAACAGCTATTGGAGGATAGATGGGCTAATGAGAGCATAGGCAAAGGGGTCGAAGAGGTATGGGGTAGGTTTAAAAATGTAGTGTTAGAGTGTTCAGCAGAAGTTTGTGGTTACAGGAAAGTGGGTGTGGGGAGGGAAGAGAGACAATTGTGGAATGATGTAAAGAGACTAGTAAGGGAGAAAAAGTTAGCATATGAGAGTTTTACAAAGTAGAAGTGATGCAAAGGAGGGAAGAGTATATGGAGAAAAAGAGAGAGGTTAAAGAGTGGTGAAGCAATGTAAAAAAAGAGCAAATGAGAGAGTGGGTGAGATGTTATAAACAAATTTTGTTGAAAATAAGAAAAAGTTTTGGAGTGAGATTAACAAGTTAAGGAAGCCTAGAGAACAAATGGATCTGTCAGTTAAAAATAGGAGAGGAGAGTTATTAAATGGAGAGTTAGAGGTATTGGGAAGATGGAGGGAATATTTTGAGGAACTGTTAAATGTTGATGAAGATAGGGAAGCTGTGATTTCGTGTATAGGGCAAAGAGGAATAACATCTTGTAGGAGTGACGAAGAGCCAGTTGTGAGTGTGGGGAAGTTCGTGAGGCAGTAGGTAAAATGAAAGGGGTAAGGCAGCCGGGATTGATGGGATAAAGATAGAAATGTTAAAAGCAGGTGGGGATATACTTTTGGAGTGGTTGGTGCAATTATTTAATAAATGTATGGAAGAGGTAAGGTACCTAGGGATTGGCAGAGAGCTGCATAGTTCCTTTGTATAAAGGCAAAGGGGACAAAAGAGTGTAAAAATTATAGGGGGAGAAGTCTGTTGAGTATACCTGGTAAAGTGTATGGTAGAGTTATTATTGAAAGAATTAAGAGTAAGACGGAGAATAGGATAGCAGATGAACAAGGAGGCTTTAGGAAAGGTAGGGGTGTGTGGACCAGGTGTTTACAGTGAAACATATAAGTAAACAGTATTTAGATAAGGCTAAAGAGGTCTTTGTGGCATTTATGGATTTGGAAAAGGAGTATGACAGGGGGGATAGGGGGGTCAATGTGGCAGATGTTGCAGGTGCATGGTGTAGGAGGTAAGTTACTGAAAGCAGTGAAGAGTTTTTACGAGGATAGTGAGGCTCAAGTTAGAGTATGTAGGAAAGAGGGAGATTATTTCCCAGTAAAAGTAGGCCTTAGACAAGGATGTGTGATGTCACCGTGGTTGTTTAATATATTTATAGATGGGGTTGTAAGAGAAGTAAATGCGAGGGTCTTGGCAAGAGGCGTGGAGTTAAAAGATAAAGAATCACACATAAAGTGGGAGTTGTCACAGTTGCTCTTTGCTGATGACACTGTGATCTTGGGAGATTCTGAAGAGAAGTTGCAGAGATTGGTGGATGAATTTGGTAGGGTGCGCAAAAGAAAATTAAAAGTGAATACAGGAAAGAATAAGGTTATGAGGATAACAAAAAGATTAGGTGATGAAAGATTGGATATCAGATTGGAGGGAGAGAGTATGGAGGAGGTGAATGTATTCAGATATTTGGGTGTGGACATGTCAGTGGATGGATCTATGAAAGACGAGGTGAATCATAGAACTGATGAGGGGAAAAGGGTGAGTGGTGCACTTAGGAGTCTGTGGAGACAAAGAACTTTGTCCTTGGAGGCAAAGAGGGAAATGTTTGAGAGTATAGTTTTACCAACGCTCTTATATGGGTGTGAAGCATGGGTGATGAATGTTGCAGCGAGGAGAAGGCTGGAGGCAGTGGAGATGTCATGTCTGAGGGCAATGTGTGGTGTGAATATAATGCAGAGAATTCGTAGTTTGGAAGTTAGGAGGAGGTGCGGGATTACCAAAACTGTTGTCCAGAGGGCTGAGGAAGGGTTGTTGAGGTGGTTCGGACATGTAGAGAGAATGGAGCGAAACAGAATGACTTCAAGAGTGTATCAGTCTGTAGTGGAAGGAAGGCAGGGTAGGGGTCGGCCTAGGAAAGGTTGGAGGGAGGGGGTAAAGGTGGTTTTGTGTGCGAGGGGCTTGGACTTCCAGCAGGCATGCGTGAGCGTGTTTGATAGGAGTGAATGGAGACAAATGGTTTTTAATACTTGACGTGCTGTTGGAGTGTTCACAATAGTAACATTTTGTTAGTGGGATGAATTGTAAAGGACCTGCCTAGTATGGGCCAACAGGCCTGCTGCAGTGTTCCTCCATTCTTACGTTCTTATGTTCTTATTTATGAAGGGATTCAGGGAAACTGGCAGGCCGGACTTGAGTCCTGGAGATGGGAAGTACAGTGCCTGCACTCTAAAGGAGGGGTGTTAATGTTGCAGTTTAAAAACTGTAGTGTAAAGCACTCTTCTGGCAAGACAGTGATGGAGTGAATGATGGTGAAAGTTTTTCTTTTTTGGGTCACCCTGCCTTGGTGGGAATCAGCCAGTGTGTTAATAATAAAAAAAAAAAAAAAATATTCCTCCCTCCTTGCATCACTTCTACTATGTAAAAACCTCTCATATGCTAACTTCTCTCTTACTAATCTCTTTACATCATCATTCCACCAATTGCTCTTCTTCCCTCCCTCACCCACTTTCCTGTAACCACAAACTCCTGCTAAGCACACTAACACTACATTCTTAAACCTACCCCATACATCTTCAACCCCATTGCCTATACTCTCAGTAGCTCATCTATCCTCCAGTAGTTGTTTATATCTTACCCTAACTGCCTCTTCCTGTAATTTATAAACCTTCAACTCTCTCTTACTTGATGCTTCCATTTTCCTCTATCCAATCTACCTTTTACTCTCACTGTAGCTACAACTAAAAAGTGATCTGATACATCTGTGGCCCCTCTGGTATTATATTAGTGTATAAAAGTGACTAATATCCCATCAAGCAAATGTCCTAAATTTGCTTATAACAGATAAGCTAACTGCAGATATAAATCCAGATGTCCCCCTGTTAACCCTTTTGCGGCCAAGTTTCTAGGCCTATTGTGTATCCATATGTTGTGCTGCCAACCACAGGATAGATACAGGGTGCACAATAAACTAGCCACTACCGTCCATAGGATGGATATGGGGTACACACTAAACTAGCCACTTCAGTGGCAAAATCTCTAAACTATATTATGTAACATCTGATGTGATCAATATTGTGCATTTATTTTTGTTTAATGTTGTTAAGTAAGATTCAGTAAGGAAGAGCATTATATTACAAGGAAGCCAGAAATACACACTTCTTGCCTGCATATGTGATCTTACCTGAGTGTACTTAATTTCAGCATATCTGGTATAATAAAGATGATTGTGAGGATTGGTGAGTATTAACTCCTCCATACAGAAGGCAGCTTTGCTGTAGTCACCTTCCTTCAAGTACAGATCACACAACTCTTGCCAAGCTTCACCATCAGACATGAATCTGACACAGAGAAAATAATATTAGACATAATGATACTGTTATCTTAGTAAAAATAACTTTTATTAAGTATAGGAGGGCCCTGCTTATACAGCAGGTTAGGTTCCAAGTTATTGCTGTAAATTGAAAATCACTGAAAAGTGACAAATAGCCTTTCTTTCATTTTCAAATGCATATAAAAACCTGATACATTTACACTATCATATATTAACCCTTAAACTGTCCAAATGTAGATCTACGTCCACATGCGGGGGGCTCCGAACATAGATCTACGTTTTTTACATGCTTTCAAATGGGGAAAATCAAGGTCGGAGTGCTACGCACGTGAACGTAGATCTACGTTTGGACAGTTTAAGGGTTAAATAAGCAATAAAGTTAGGCCTTAAAAGTGTCTCTACAGTACACACATTACTTAAAATATTTTTGTCCTTAGCTTATAGTGAGTGAATGTATTTATTGTAGGAAGTCTGAATAAATGAAGAATGAGTATAACTGAAAACCACTGCATTAAAATGAAATGCTGTAAAGTGAAGCCTGCCTGTGTGTTTGTCCAGTGAAGCTGCACTACTACAACAGTCTTACTGGTAGCAACTATAACCAGGATCTTACACCTACCCTCTACTTCCTGGTTACACCAACATACACTCCTCCCAGGATCTTACACCTGCTCTGTACTTTCTGATAACACCAACATACACTCCTCCCAGGATCTTACACCTGCTCTGTACTTTCTGATAACACCAACATACACTCCTCCCAGGATCTTACACCTGCTCTGTACTTTCTGATAACACCAACATACACTCCTCCCAGGATCTTACACCTGCTCTGTACTTTCTGGTAATACCTACATGCTGGACTGTTATGCCACTGTACAATATTATTGTTATGCTGACTTACTTTTGTATACTATGTACATTATTGCTCATCATAAAAATATCTACAAAGATTCCCACATAGTGTATTTGCATACTATGCTTCTATCACAGTGTACTTTCAACATCGTACGATCTCAAAAATATAACTAAATAACTATTAGAATTGTAACTAGGTCCAACATACTAGTACGTATGCAGGCAATGTCTGTGTGTCTAACATACTAGTACACACAATTTTTCATGCCTTTAAATCTGCCACCTGTCAACATTTTTGACCTCAGCACAACTCTCTGGGTCATCTACAACGTCTTTATTCTAATGAAGAAAATCTAAGTCCAGGTGCATCCACACAGTGCATCATGGTTAATTATGAAGGTGATAAAGTATGTGCCCAACATGCTAGTACACACAATAAAACCAGAACCCATTCCACCACCTATATCTGGAGTATACCTGGAGGGTGTTCCAGGGGTCAACACCCCTGTGGCCCAGTCCATGACCAGGAGTATACCTGGAGGGTGTTCAGGGGGTCCACGACCAGGAGTATACCTGGAGGGTGTTCTGGGGTCCATGACCAGATTAAGCCAATAAATTTAAGCAATGTGATATTTCCATGTTTTCATGAGTATTACACCTTTAAACAACTGTAATATCATAAGACTGTTTTGTAAATACAGTGGAACCTCAAAAATCGAACGTATCACATATCGAACGTTTCGAAAATAAGACCATTTTTTCGGACAAACTGTGTCCCTATTATCAAACGCGCCCCTATTTTCAGACCGCCGGGTACGGGACCTGTCCGCTGGCTCGCTCTCTCTGCATCCCCGTGCAGGTGCCGTGAGCAGTCTAGCTTTGCTTATGCTTGAGTGAACACTAACCTGCGATATCATTCACACATTTTACGATTATTTAATTGTGTTTAGTGCTTGTGGGACTGTGAAATAAGCTGCCATGGGCCTAAAGAAACTTGCTAGCGGTACCCCTGTGGTAAAGAAAGTGAGAAACACCATAGATGTGAAGAAGGAAATAATACAGAAGTATGAGATTGGAGTGAGACTTGTTGAGCTTGCCAGGATGTACAGATGACTGTGGACAGTTATTTTGTGAGACAGAAACAGACAACTGTGGAGTTATTTTGTGAGACAAACAGACGATTGTGGACAGTTATTTTGTGAGACAGAAACAGACGACTGTGGAGTTATTTTGAGACAAACAGACGATTGTGGACAGTTATTTTGTGAGACAGAAACAGACGACTGTGGACAGTTATTTTGTGAGACAGAAACAGACAATTGTGGAGTTATTTTGTGAGACAAACAGACGATTGTGGACAGTTATTTTGTGAGACAGAAACAGACGACTGTGGACAGTTATTTTGTGAGACAGAAACAGACGACTGTGGACAGTTATTTTGTGAGACAGCAACAGATGACTGTAGACAGTTATTTTGTGAGACTGGGGTCCAATGACTCTCAAGCTGGTCCTAGTGGCATTAAAATACAGAGAAGGGAAGCAACCCCAGAGAGGGCTTTGATATCGGAAGTCCTCATGGGGGGGATTCTCCTTCAAAACAATAACTTGATTGGGCAATTTCATGTGCTCAATCGATAAAGTGGAAGACATACTAGCAAAATAGCTAAGAATTCGGTCAACTGGAACAGTGTAATTGGCCTAAAATAGGACTCAAATTGGGCAAAATCACCAATGCATAAATATCACTGACGACAAAAATCGTGACAGCGTAATTTCATCAGTTTTCCATCAAATTTCCTTCTCTTTTTTTTATTTCCTTCAGAAAAAGATTCTCTGCCATTTCATAAGAAAAAATAATTTATTTTTTTGAAAATTCTTGGACAGTGTGGACAAGTTTCTGATGGAGGTCTGGACAGTGAAAGGGTTAACCCTCTCAGGGTCGAGAAGCCCTCTCAGAAACTTGTTCTCAAGGTCAAAAATTTTTCAGAAAAAAAATTTTTTTGTTTCTTATGAAATGATAGAGAATCTTTTCCCGATCATAATGACACCAAAAGTATGAAATTTGATGGAAAACTTATGGAATTATGCTCTCGTGAAGTTAGCAGTCTCGACAATGTTCACGCATCGGCGATTTCACTCACTTTGAGCCCTATTTTCAGCCAATTCCAGTGTACTAGTTGACAAAAATCATATCTATTTTGCTAGAACTCCATTTTTTCTATTGAATGAGTACAAGAAACCACCCATATACTGATTTCAACTATCCAATAAACTGGTCAGAAATTGCCAATGTTGCCAATTTCACACAAATTCAGAAGATGCCAATTTCCAAATAGGGTCCAGAATAAACAAGACAGACATTCCTGGCACTAAAATAACATTTTCTCTGTTCATTAGTCATGTTCCCACACCCCTCTTACATCCCTTTTGCTTTCCACTTTGAATTTTTATTCTCACAAAAAATAGAAGGTTTACTGTTATGCAGACTACTGCATTAGTGTAGAAATGGTATAGAAATGGTATAAATAGTATCAGCACACTTTTGAAAGAATATTAGACTCACCAGTTGTATTGGACGTTTGGAATGATTTGTTTACTTTTGAACTTTGGTAAAAATCGAACATTTCTGCTATTTTGAGCTCAATTTCAAGGTACTTTTCATTATGAAACCAATCAAAATCATCTCAATTTCTGTAGTAGGTCTTTGAATCTATAAAATGAGACCAGGAAAACTAAAATACAACCATAAATACCATACGAAAATACACTGCAAAGTCGCTGTTTTAAACCAAAAACACGGTCGGAATTTTTTTTTCTCATTATGCACTGTGTGCTCCAGGATTTTTTTTATACTGTGCACACTGACTACATAGACCCATTCTTTCATATGTAGGCCTACCAGCTTTCTCTCACTAGATTTGAAGGCGCTAGAATTTAGGCGTACTAGTACGTCAATAACCCTGGTGCGTAAGCCGTACTAGTACGTCGGAAACCCTGAAAGGGTTAAGTACCTCAGAGGTCGTAGTTTCAGTCGGCCTGAAATGCATGCCATAAAAGGAGCTTTTCAAAAAAAAATGTACAATAAAATATGTGGTTCAAGATGTGAATAAACACCTTGTGTTTTTTTTTTTTTTGGGGGGGGGGGGGAGGGGGAGGGGGGGAGGGGGGGAGGGGGGGAATAAACTTGTGACTTTTACTCTGCCTTCCAACATAGCTTTCCATATGCAGCTGGAGATTATAACACTGCAATACTTATGCCAATAATATATGATAAATGAGCAGTGATAAAAGAGGTGAAGAGAGTGGTGAGGGAGTGCAAAAGGAGAGCAAATGATAGAGTGCATGAGGCAATGTTAAATTTTGCTGAGAATAAAAATATTTTTTTGGAGATAAATAGGTTAAAAAATGCCTAGAGAACAAATGGACTTCACAGTTAAAAAAAACAGAATAGGGGAGTTAGATGGGAAATTGGAGGTATGGGGAAGATGGAGGGAATATTTTGAATAACTGTTAAATGTTGATGAAGAGAGAGGAAGGCAGTGATTTTATACACCAACCAGGGAGGTATAACATCTTTCAGGAGTGAAGACGAGCCAGATGTGAGTGTGAGGGATGTGTGGGTACAATGAGAGGGGGTAAAGCAGCTAGAACTGATGGGATCATGACAGAAATGTTAAAAGCAGGTGGGGATATAGTTTTGGAGTGACTGGTACTTTTGTTCAATAAATGTATAAAAGAGGGAAGATACCTTGAGACTGGCAGAGAGCGTGCATAGTTCCTTTATATAAAGAGAAGGAAAACAAAAACAGATAGTAGGTTGGTAGACAGCAATCACCCAGGGAGGTACTACCATCCTGTCAAGTGAGTGTAAAACACAAACTTGTACTTTCTTTGCATGATGGTAGGATTGCTGGTGTCTTTTTTCTGTCTCATAAACATGCATTATTTCAGGTACGTCTTGCTACTTCTACTTACACTTAGGTCACACTACACATACATGTACAAGCATATATATATATACACACACCCCTCTGGGTTTTCTTCTATTTTCTTTCTAGTTCTTGTTCTTGTTTATTTCCTCTTATCTCCATGGGGAAGTGGAACAGAATTCTTCCTCCATAAGTCACTCGTGTCGTAAGAGGCGAGTAAAATGCTGGGAGCAAGGGGCTAGTAACCCCTCCTCCTGCACAAACTACTAAATTTTAAAAAAAGAAACTTTTTTTTTTTTCTATTTAGGTCACCCTGCCTCGGTGGATATGGCCGGTGTGATAAAGAAAAAAATAGGTTCACTGATTATGCCATGTAAAGTGTATGGTAGGGTTAATATTAAAGGAAAAACAGAGAGCAGAATCACAGATGAACAAGGAGACTTTAGAATGGGTAGTGGATGTGTTGACCAAGTGTTTACATTGAATTGCTGAATTTATGGATTTAGAAAAGGCATATGACAGGGTGGATAGGGGAACAATGTGGCAGATGTTGCAAGTGTATAGAACAGGTATGATACTAAATGCTGTCAAGTTTTTATGAGGATAATGAAGCTAAGGTTAGGGTGTGTAGGAGAGAGGGAGATTACTTCCCAGTAATAGTAGGTCTTAGACAGGGTTGTATAATGTCACCACGGTTATTGTAAAAGAAATAAATGCTAGGGCATTGGGGAGAGGGGTGGGACTAAATTATTGGGAATCAAATACAAAATTGGAGATGACACAGTTACTTTTTGCTGAAGATACTGTGCTTTTTGGGAGATTCTAAAGGAGGGGTTTGGGATATCTGTTGTTTAGGGTGACATTTAAACAGTCGTATCTGTACACCTCTGGCAAAACAATGAGTGTGTGAATGATGGTGTGTTTCTTATTTGGGTCACCTGAATCTTGAAGTTATTAAACAAAAGTTGAAAACCACTCACCTATAGTGAAAGTTACTTTACATTTTACCTTTAAGCCTCATGTACAGTGGTCCCTTGATAATCGCAAGGCTCGATAGTCGTAATTTTCTAAAATCGTAACGTTTTCGTCAAAACAGTGGCTTGCTAATCGTAGTTTGACTTGCGAATAGTCACTTGTCTGGGACCCGTACGCACGGCTCTGAGCCGTTCCCAGCCAGTGTGCCATTGTTTACCAGTGAGCGACGGTCCCCTCACTTGCTCATACGAAATATTTCATAATATTCCATTCATTTTAGTGCTTGCAACTACTAAATAAGCTACCATGGCTCCAAAGAAAGCTCCTAGCGCCAAGCCTTTGGTAAAGAAGGTGAGAAATACGATTGAATTTAAGAAAAACATCATTGAACAAAATGGAAGTGGCGTACATGTGGCCAAACTGGCCAGGATGTATAACAAACCCCATACAACCATAGCTTCCATCGTGGCCATGAAAAAGGAAATCAAGGAAGCTGTTGTCGCAAAGAGAGTAAATATGCTGACAAAAATGAGATCACCAGTACTCGAAGATATTGAGAAGTTATTATTGGTGTGGATAAACGAGAAACAATTAGCAGGAGATAGTCTTATGACGTCGATTATTTGTGAAAAGGCTAGGCAGTTCCACAACGATCTGGTAAAGAAATTGCCTGCAACGAGTACTGATATTTGTGAATTTAAGGCCAGCAAAGGTTGGTTTGAGAGATTTAAGAACCATAGTGTGATAAGGCATGGTGAGGCTGCCAGTTCAGATAAAATTACAGCTACAAAATTCGTAAGTGAATTCCAGGAGTACATAGAGGCTGAAGGACTGAAACCTGAACAAGTGTTCAATTGTGACGAAACAGGCCTCTTTTGGAAGAAAATGCCAAAGAGGACCTATATTACTCAGGAGGAAAAGGGACTGCCAGGACACAAGCCTATGAAAGACAGGCTGATGCTCATGTTCTGTGCTAATGCTAGTGGGGATTTCAGAGTGAAGCCGTTACTAGTGTACCATTCTGAAAATCCCAGTGTGTTCAGGAAAAACAATGTTATGAAGAGTAAATTGTGTGTGTTTTGGAAATCTAATAGTAAGGCATGGGTCACGAGGGAAATTTTCGTTGAGTGGTTCAAAGAAGTGTTTGGCCCTAGTGTGAAGAATTACCTCCTGGAAAAGAAATTGGATCTCAAGTGCGTCCTATTAATGGACAATGCACCTGCTCATCCTCCAAACTTGGATGACCTAATTTTGGAGGAGTTTGGGTTCATCACAGTAAAGTTCTTGCCCCCGAATACCACTCCTCTCCTCCAGCCCATGGACCAGCAGGTCATTTCAAACTTTAAAAAACTCTACACCAAAGCAATGTTTCAAAGGTGCTTTAATGTGACCTCAGACACTCACTTGACCCTAAGAGATTTTTGGAAAGAACACTTCAGTAACCTCCACTGCATAAGCCTTATAGGTAAGTCTTGGGAGGGAGTGACTACCAGGACTTTGAACTCTGCTTGGAGAAAATTGTGGCCAGATTGTGTCCACAAGAGGGATTTTGAAGGGTTTGGGGCTGACCCTGATGAGCCTATGTCAGTTGTTAAATCTATTGTGGCACTGGGGAGTTCTATGGGGTTGGATGTGAGTTTGGAGGATGTGGAAGAGTTGGTGGAGGACCACAACAAAGAGCTCACCACTGAGGAGCTGCAAGAGCTTCAGCAGGAAGAGCAACAGATCACAGCTCAGAATCTTGCTGCAGAGGAGGAGGAAGAGAGATAGAAGAAGTTGCCTTCTTCAGAAATTAAGGAGATTTTTGAAATGTGGGGTAAGATGGAAAGATTTATGGAGAAACATCACCCTGACAAGGCTGTTGTAAGCCATGTTGGCAACTTGTACAGTGACAAAGTCTTGGCCCATTTTAGGGAAGTGTTAAAGAGATGCCAGAAACAGAGCTCTCTGGACAGTTTTTTTTTGTGAGACAGGACTCCAGTGACTCTCAAGCTGGTCCTAGTGGCATTAAGAAACAGAGAAGTAACCCCAGAAAAGCACTTGGTACCTGAGGTGTTGATGGAAGGGGATTCCCCTTCCAAAGAGTAACTAATGCAATCTCTCTCCTCCCCCAGTCTTCCATACACTAAGAAGAATCGCCAATAAAGGTAAGTGTTATGTTGTTAATGTTTCATTCATCATGTCCCATTGTTAATGTTGCAGTTTAAAAACTGTAGTGTAAAGCACCCTTCTGGCAAGACAGTGATGGAGTGAATGATGGTGAAAGTTTTTCTTTTTCGGGCCACCCTGCCTTGGTGGGAATCGGCCAGTGTGATGATAAAAAAAAAATATCTATATTTCATGTAAAAAATTTTTTGTTTTAATACTTCTGGGTGTCAGGAACGAATTAATTGTATTTACATTATTTCTTATGGGGAAAATTGACTCAAAAATCGTAAATTTCGATAATAGTCACACTTCCAGGAACGGATTAATTACGAAAAATGAGGGACCACTGTACTTCAATATAAAAAAATATTGAATAATCAAAGAGAAGATGTTACTAACATTTTGAGGTATTCAGTGAGTTCTTTAATAGCATCAGCAATTCTTCCTTGGCCTCGCAGTACAGCAACTTTTCGTTTCCGTGCTGTGGAATTTGTTTCGTCTTGACGAATAATGCTGTCATACACGTCCATAGCCTCGTCAAATCTGTACACAAGAAAATTATGAGAATGTAGCAGGACACATGTCAGTAACAGAAGAGGTAACACAACTTCCAGTGTCCTAGCCATCAGTTAGTACACAAGTGTCCAATACTGTATATGATAGACATGTTCCAGGACAGTAATACATGTAACAAAATTACATAAAGTAACACTAATTCTGCACATAAAACATAAGGGAAGGACATGTTGCAACACCTGGACTCCACAGCTCCAACACTCTTTTATAATACTGAATATTATGTGAGTAATACTGTACAGTGTATTATAATAAACAAGAAACTGTTATCATCGTACATCAGCAACTAACAGTGACATTAAACTATCTATGTGTGCTGTCAACCCTCTTTCTGTTATTATGGTGCAGTGTTATGATGGTGGTAAAGCTCCATCCTCTTTCTGTTATTATGGTGCAGTGTTATGATGGTGGTAAAGCTCCACACTCTTACTGTTATTATGGTGCAATGTTATGATGGTGGTAAAGCTCCACCCTCTTTCTGTTATTATGGTGCAGTGTTATGATGGTGGTAAAGCTCCACCCTCTTTCTGTTATTATGGTGCAATGTTATGATGGTGGTAAAGCTCCACACTCTTACTGTTATTATGGTGCAATGTTATGATGGTGGTAAAGCTCCATCCTCTTTCTGTTATTATGGTGCTGTGTTATGGTGGTGGTAAAGCTCCACACTCTTACTGTTATTATGGTGCTGTGTTATGGTGGTGGTAAAGCTCCACACTCTTACTGTTATTATGGTGCAGTGTTGTGATGGTAGTAAAGCTCCACACTCTTACTGTTATTATGGTGCTGTGTTATGATGGTGGTAAAGCTCCACACTCTTACTGTTATTATGGTGCAGTGTTGTGATGGTAGTAAAGCTCCACACTCTTACTGTTATTATGGTGCAGTGTTGTGATGGTAGTAAAGCTCCACACTCTTACTGTTATTATGGTGCAGTGTTGTGATGGTAGTAAAGCTCCACACTCTTACTGTTATTATGGTGCAGTGTTGTGATGGTAGTAAAGCTCCACACTCTTACTGTTATTATGGTGCAGCGTTGTGATGGTAGTAAAGCTCCACACTCTTACTGTTATTATGGTGCAGTGTTGTGATGGTAGTAAAGCTCCACACTCTTTCTGTTATTAAGGTGCAGTGTTATGATGGTGGTAAAGCTCCACCCTCTTTCTGTTATTATGGTGCAATGTTATGATGGTGGTAAAGCTCCACACTCTTACTGTTATTATGGTGCAATGTTATGATGGTGGTAAAGCTCCATCCTCTTTCTGTTATTATGGTGCAGTGTTATGATGGTGGTAAAGCTCCACACTCTTTCTGTTATTATGGTGCAGTGTTATGATGGTGGTAAAGCTCCATCCTCTTTCTGTTATGGTGCAGTGTTATGATGGTGGTAAAGCTCCATCCTCTTTCTGTTATTATGGTGCAGTGTTATGATGGTGGTAAAGCTCCATCCTCTTTCTGTTATTATGGTGCAGTGTTATGATGGTGGTAAAGCTCCACCCTCTTTCTGTTATTATGGTGCAGTGTTATGATGGTGGTAAAGCTCCACACTCTTACTGTTATTATGGTGCAGTGTTGTGATGGTGGTAAAGCTCCACACTCTTACTGTTATTATGGTGCTGTATTATGATGGTGGTAAAGCTCCACCCTGTTACTGTTATTATGGTGCTGTGTTGTGATGGTGGTAAAGCTCCACACTCTTACTGTTATTATGGTGCTGTGTTATGGTGGTGGTAAAGCTCCACACTCTTACTGTTATTATGGTGCTGTGTTGTGATGGTAGTAAAGCTCCACACTCTTACTGTTATTATGGTGCAGTGTTGTAATGGTAGTAAAGCTCCACACTCTTACTGTTATTATGGTGCAGTGTTGTGATGGTAGTAAAGCTCCACACTCTTACTGTTATTATGGTGCAGTGTTGTGATGGTAGTAAAGCTCCACACTCTTACTGTTATTGTGGTATAGCTAATATACAAGACATGACTGCTGCAAAACTGTGTGCTCACCCTTGTTGCTACACTCAAAGCCAACAAAGCACAAATTCTGAAGAGGATAAGTTACAGAGTTGGTGGACTGATAACCTAGATCCAGTCCTCTCTGGATCCAATCCACTCTGCTCTACTAAACAAATTACCCTGATATCATAACCAGTTTGAAAAAGAAACAAGTTGGTGCTACTCAAGTCATCAATGCACACTCAGGCAACATCACAGCAAGTGACAAGATAGAAATAATTGAATATTACAGTCACACAAAAAGTGGACTTTACACTTTAGACCAAATGTGCTCCATACACTCTTGCAGTAGAAAAACTAAGAAATGGCCGCTCTGTCTCTCTTCTACAGAATTCTCAACGCCGCTACTATCAACTCCTGCATTACTAACTGAGCAAACTAGAAAAACACAGGTAGAGTGGAACCACAGAGGAGATAAATTGTGCATGAGTTAAGATTTGTTCGGATTTTGTGCGGACTGTCTCTCTTATTTCCATTGATGTCCTTCAATCTTGCCCCCCAAGAGGCAACCCACACCAGTCCACTAACACCCAGGTACCTACTTGCTTGCTAGGTGAATAGGGACAGCAGGTGTAAGGAAACACATCCAACATTTCCACCCATGCCAGGGACTGAACCACATACACTCAGTATGTAAGGCGAGTGTGTTCCCAACCAAGCTACAGGAGTGATCAGGCCAAGGGTAGAGGAGAGATTTACTACATAATTCTCTTGTATCCTGTGGACTATGATTTGCAGTGTCTGCAAAATTCCTACACCTTCTGAGGACCATGCAGCGGTAGCTTCAGAGGTTGGTGGCATTATGAGGTGGTGTGCAGCAAGTACTTGGAGCTCAGACAAGAAAACAAGATTCTGGTGCATTCAGTACAACCAACCAGTGTGTCCAAGCCATAACCACCATCTGCACTGACTGCAGCAATTAGAGTATGTAAGCTTTAGCCAATGTTTATAAATGGTGTTGGAATTTTCTTAAATATTTAGATAATACTAATGAGTAATTATCCTTTATTGCTCATTTACATGGAATTCTTACAGTGTGCCAATTTTCAGCCTCTAAATTTATGCTGCACATGTCATTGTGTGCTAGAGATGATGGTGAGGCAGGGAAGCTGTTGTTGCAACTGGAGCAAGTTATAAGTTTTGGTAACGTGTGGCAGCAGTGCTAAGTTGTTAGCCTCGGTAGTCTTGGTAACATGTGGCTGTAGTGTTAAGTTGCTAGCCTCGGTAATGTGTGGCAGCAGTGTTAAGTTGCTAGCCTCAGTAATGTGTGGAAGCAGTGTTAAGTTGCTAGCTTCAGTAATGTGTGGCAGCAGTGTTAAGTTGCTAGCCTCAGTAGTCTTGGTAATGTGTGGCAGCAGCGTTAAGTTGCTAGCCTCAGTAGTCTTGGTAATGTGTGGCAGCAGTGTTAAGTTGCTAGTCTCAGTAGTCCGGGTAATGTGTGGCAGCAGTATTAACCCTTTGACTGTTTCAGGCCCCTTTCTGAAACTGTCATTCTATGTCGATAAATTTTTGAAAAAAAAAAAAAAATTATTTTTTCTTATGAAATGATAGAGAATATTTTCCCGATGGTAATGACACCAAAAGTTCGAAATTTGGTCGAAAACTCATGGAATTACGCTCCCGCAAAGTTAGCGATCTCGGCGACATATGCGTATCGGCGATTTTGCCGACTTTGAGCCCTATTTTCAGCCAATTCCGTTGTTCCAGTTGACCAAACTCATAGCTATTTCTTTAGAACTCCATTTTATCTATTAGCTGAGTACAAAAAATCTCCCATTTACCAATTTGGACTACCCAATATTGTGGTCAGAAATTGGCAATTTGGCCAATTTCACGCAAACTAAAAAAGATGCCAATTTCAAAATAGGGTCCAGAATAAACAAGGTAGACATTCTTGGCACTAAAATAACATATCCTCTGTTCATTAGTCACATCTCTAGGCCCCTCTTATATTATTATTGCTTTCTATTTTGATTTTTTATTCACACAAAAAATTAGAAGATTTACTGTTATGCAGACTACTGCATTATTGTAAAAATGGTATAAATAATATCAGTGCACTAGTGAAAGAATATTAGACTCCCCAGTTGACGTGTATTGGACGTGTGGTGTGATTTGTTTACTCCTGAACATTGGTAAAAATCGAACATTTCCACTACTTTGAGCTCAGTTTCAAGGTCGTTTTCATCGTCGAAGTAATGAAAATGATCTCTATTTCTGTAATATGTTTTCCATTTTATCACCTAAGACCATGAAAACGAAAATACATCAACAAATACTATACGAAAATACACCTCAAAGTCTGCATTTTAATCCAAAAAAACGATCAGTTTTTTTTTCTCATTACGCACTGTGTGCTGCAGGATTTTTTTTATGTGGTGCACACTGACCACACAGACCCATTCTCTTACATGTGGGCCTACCAGCTTTCTTCCGCTTGATTTGAAGCCGCTAGAATTATATATATACAGTGGACCCCCGGTTAACGAACTTTTTTCGTTCCAGTAGTATGTTCAGGTGCCAATACTGACCGAATTTTTTCCCATAAGGAATATTGTGAAGTAGATTAGTCCATTTCAGACCTCCAAACATACACGTACAAACGCACTTACATAAATACACTTACATAATTGGACGCATTTGGAGGTGATCGTTAAGCGGGGGTCCACTGTACGTCTGAAACACTGGCTCGTAAGACGTATATATACGACCAAAACAGTCAAAGGGTTAAGTTGCTAGCTGCAGTCTGGGTAATGTGTGGCAGCAGTGTTAAGTTGCTAGCCTCAGTAATGTGTGGCAGCAGTGTTAAGTTGCTAGCCTCAGTAATGTGTGGCAGCAGTGTTAAGTTGCTAGCCTCAGTAATGTGTGGCAGCAGTGTTAAGTTGCTAGCCTCAGTAATGTGTGGCAGCAGTGTTAAGTTGCTAGCCTCAGTAATGTGTGGCAGCAGTGTTAAGT